ATCACCTCAGACCTAGACTACTTCAATAGTGCTGGTTGGTCTCCCCATCACAAGTCTTTCTCCACTCCAGTCTATCTTCTTCTTGGCTGTCAAAGGAATCTTCTCAAAATGTAGATCTGGCCATGTCTCTCTCTCCCACACCCCAATAAACAAACTCCAAATGGCTCCCAGACCTCAAAGATCAAATGCACATCCTCTATTTGCCATTCAAAGCCCTTTATTACCTGCCTCCCATACCTTCTCAGGCTTCTTACATCTTACCACACCCCTCTCCCATACATTCTTCAATCTAGTAAAACTGGCCTCCTTGCCATTCTTCAAACAAATTACAATCATCCTTTGACATTTGCAGGTTTCACATTTGCAGTTTTGTGTCACAACTCACATTTGTGAATTGACGGTTAATTAAATGGGAATTTTTGGAGATTTATGCCACACTGTGGAAAATCACAGACCACACACATATGTAAACAAAACTAAAAAAAAAGTAGTAGGCCACAAATGCATAAATACTGTATATTATTAATCTATTTTATCATTTACTACCATAAATATACATATATAAATTTATCAAAAACAACCAAATTTTATTAAATGTTTCAATGTGTTAAAGAACTACCAGCCTTCACTTTGTCTCTCTGCCATCCAGACACAGTCACATGATTTTCTCCCTGAGTGATCACTGGATCTTATGTTTTTCGTAGAAAGAAATCCATAAAGCAACAACTGAGAAGACTCTGTAAAGTGTGTGAGATGCTAATCTTTTTTGTATAGAACTGCAACCTTTTCACTTGTTCTGTGTATTGAATAAATATGATCAAAATTATTAAAAATGAAGGTTTGGGGTGGAGCCTGGAGCTATTTATGATTTTTCACATTCGCAAGGGTCCTGCACTCCTAACCCCTGGAAATGTTGAGGGATGACTATACTTCACCTCTCCAGATTCCTGGCATTTTCACTGGTTGGCCCCTGCTACTGGAATGCTCCTCTTCTTTGCCTCCTGGCTTCCTTAAAATTCCAGCTAAAATCCCATCTTCTACAAGAAACCTTTTCCAATTCCACTTAATTCTAGAGCCTGCCCTCTGCTGATTATTTCCAGTTTATCCTGTATGTAGCTTGTTTGTACACAGTTGTTTGCAGATCGTCTACTCCATTAGATAGAGAGCTCCATGTCTTTTGCCTTTCTTTGAATTCCTTGAGTTTAGCACAGTGCTTGGCACAAAGTAGGTGCTTAATAAATGTTTACTGACTGACCGACTTGCCCAAGATCACACAAGTATTGAGTGTCAAATGCATGATTTGAACCCAAGTCTTCTGAATGTACCATCAATGCTCTTTTGACTACACTATGCTGCCTCTACCTCCGTAACCTTGTGAAATCCACCTTCATCTATAAAATGAGGGCTGGGTAGATTGGATGACTTCTAAGGTCCTTCTGAATCTGTGCTCCATGGCCTTAAGTTGCACCATTACTCTGGGTCTCAGTTTCTTAAAATAAGGTCATACTAGAAAATATCTAAAATACCTTCTGACTCTAAAGACTTTACTATCAGAATTGATAAAAAAAAAATCAGCTTTTTCAGTAATGAAACATAATGAATGTTGGAAGTTTGATTCCTACCCCTTCCTAAATCAGTAAAGGGATGAAATTTTAACCTCAGTCAGTATCTTGGGATATCACTGGGGGTATCGGTCAAGAGGTAGAAATATAATACTAAAGTGAGTTGGGAAACAGATCAAAGAGCTTATGGCTTAATAAAGATTGAAATATTGTAAGGATTACCAAAATGTAACACAATGTGAGCACATGCTGTTGGAAAAATGGCACCAATAGACTTGCTCGATACAGGGTTGCCACAAGTCTTCAAATTAAGAAAAAAACACCCCACAATATTTGCAAAACACAATAAAGTGAAACACAATAAAATGAGGTATTATATGTCTATATATACATGTCTATACACACACACACACACGTGAGTATTTAGTATTGTGAGTGATATAAACACTTCCAAAAAGTCTTTTCAGTCCTACAATTTCTGACATTCTTTATCTTCTCTTCCCTGACAAAAATATTCTTATTTTATTTATCATAGAAACCTCTTATTAAATTCAGATAATCTTCACCGTTTTCCCCCCTAAACTAATAACAGCATCTCAATATTCTGTGAAAAAGAAGCTAGTACATGGAAATACCAGTACTTTGTGCTTTGTACCCTCCAACTGGTGGTTCCTTATGCTCTGCAGTTGATAAAATATGAGAAGCAAACCCAGCCAAGTGGATAATGGACTCAGCGGTGTGAAGAATGTAGTTGTCAGGTTGGGGAATGTGGCCCGCACTCCTGCTAAGAAAGTGCCAAGCACCCTGAATTTCAAACAGCAGAGTAGGTTCTAACCCACTTTTCACACGAGCCAGACAATGCAGTCTTATCATTCATTCTTTTTACACTTTCTCCTTTTTACAATTTAATCACTGAAATGTATATCAAAGTGTTTCATTCACAGGACCTTTAACAGTATCCCATCCAATTTTTTTTTACAGGTGAATCTCTTTTTTTATGAACACATCTGCTGTTCAACATGATTTAGGACCTTATCATGGGTGTATGTATAGACCTAGAAGGCTGCGTTTCTCAGGCCATGGCAACCAGGTCATACAAAGGTTTAAAATCTTTGCTGTCTCTTTTGCTGGATCCTTATTTTCTTTTTAATACTGTAATATAGGTAATTATCCCAGTCAGGATTATTGGACGCTGAGAGGTTTCCCAGAGGAAATAGCAGAATGGATAAAAGACATTCTAGGTGTCCGGTTACTCTTCCCCTTGTGTTCAACTCAACTCCAGCCATCTCATGACTGACCCTTCTTCCACTCCATTCTCTTATTTCTTCTATCCCCTTCAAATACTAACCTCTCATAATTCCCCCCCCCTTTCATTTTCTCCCATCCTCCTTTCAAGTTTACAGTGACACAAGTTTAAAATGCCATCAAATTCTCAAGTAGTGAAACTCTTCCCTGAATTCTGGGAAAAATTATTCCATTTTCCTGCTACCTTTCCACTCTACAGCCTCAGTTATTTCTTATAACTTGCTTGTGGGGACTGTGTCTGGGGAAAGCACTCGTACAGGGAGAAATGACATTTATGACTTAGATTCTCAATGCATAGTGTGGAATACCATCTAATTCTAAGAAAAGAAAAAGAAAAGGTAGGCCTTAGAAGAAGAAAGGCAATTATGGTGTGTCACTGCTGAAAAATAAGTAGAAAATGGTGCTCAAGGCAGGCAATCTTGCTACCTGATGTTAGGTAATAGATGCCAGAGAAGAATCATTGCATTTGCAGAAGTTACAAGAAAACTAGACCCTATCAGTTGCACACTACTATGTACCATCATCCTACCTCTCAGACCGCCATTCCAGGGGAGCAAATGACCATTTATCTCCTTTAGCCAAAAGGATTCTTCCCGTGGACCCTGATGACTAACAAGTGCAGATTTCTTCGCTCATTCACCTCTGTTTTTCATCACATAGCAGCTATGAGAATAGGCACTGGACTATTTCCCTAGGGATTTATAAGAATGATGCATTTGACTTAAAATAAAGGCAATGCATTCTGCCCCTCTTGTCTATTGACTATTGTTGTCTCTTTTGATTTCTGCGTTTATTAGGGAATGTTAAAGAGTCACCATTTCAAGAATATGCTCACCTTAGTGACCTGGAATAGGAGGAAGTGGAGAAAAGTCAGAGGGAGGAAGGAAATAGGGCTGCAGACCAATTCACTTTTCGAAAATAGTAATGCTAATAATAAAGCTAATGCTTTATTTCTAAATACTTTTTTGCAGAATTGGTGAAACATAATGGTGCTATGTAGGCTTCTTTTTGAGAACTTTATACACAAAAGGATCAAGCAGTCAATGAAGAAAACATTTCCTTTCTTTATAGCTTCTCCCCTTTAAGCTACGCCATTGGATTCTAAGCCATAAAAAAAACTTTTGTCCCAGCATATTATAACCACAACTGAATAGAGAACAAAATACAAAATGCTCTGTTTGATATTCAAGGCCCTTCATAACCTAGTCCCTTCCAACCTTTCTAGTATTCATACATACCTTATTCCCTAACATGTACTTTTTGATCCAGTGACACTGACCTCCTGGCTATTACATGAACAAGACACTCCATCTCTCCACTCTGGACATTTTGTATGGCTGTCTCCAATGCCTGAAACGCTCTTCCTCCACATCTTTGACTACAGACCTCCTTGCTTTCCTTTCAGTTTCAACTAAAATCTCATTTTTACTGTAATCCTTTCCCACCTTCTCTTAATTTCAGTGCCCTTCCTCTGTCAATTATTTCCTACTTATCCTTGTTGTGGTGTGTGTGTGTGTGTGTGTGTGTGTGTGTGTGTGTGTGTGTGTACCATATGGCTTGTTTTGTATATATTTGTTTGCATATTATCTCCCCTATTAGATTGTAAGCTTCTTGAGGGCAGGGGCTGCCTTTTAACTCTTTTTGTATTCTCAGCACTTAGCATAGTGCATGGCACACAGTAGGTGCTTCAAATGTGTACTAATTTATTGATTAAGAATAAAATACAGAAGTAAAATGAAAGTAGGGCAAACTAGGGCTTCTACATAGAGTGCTGAAATATCGAAGATGCTGACAGCACTTTTTCAGCAACCTAGACAACTAAGTTTAATATCTAGGTGGCAATTGCTAGTAAGTTAAAACAGGAAGTTACAAGATGCCCTTTGCTTCCCCCAGTCCAGATAAGTATGGTCTTGAGAGAATTTTTCAGGTCACATATTACTAATTACAGTTTTGATAAAAAATCTTTCAGCTTCAAGTATTACAAATCCTATCAGTACCCTAGGAATTAGTTAAGGTTCTAGGAGAATAAAAAATCTTAGATGTAACAGTTGAGTTATTGGAAGTCCTACTTATTCTAAAAAGTGTTAATTTTATGCCTAATTTCTAGTACCATTAAATGTGCATGTTCTTTACCTGTCAGAACCAGATGATGACCTTGGGTTATGAAAATGAGAGGAGTTCAGGTCCAAGCTGTAGCTCCTTCCACTTTCAGTTTTCAGAGTTATGATTTCCCCTCGGGTTGCTGATCTGAACTTGCTAAGCAGAAATCTGTAATTGATTTTAAAAAAATAGATAAAATAAGGAAAAGTTTTAAAACAAAATTCCAAAATTTTTCTAAAGGAGAACATTTTTCAATCCTCTTTGCAGTAATATTAGAGTAATAATTCTGAGGGAGAAAAAGCCCCCTTTTAACAAAGTCTGACTTCTCTCAAAGGACAAAGAGAAGGCTAGAGGGAGTTCTGGTCTCCTCACTGTGGCCAGCAACTGAGGAGGAAGGAAAAGGGGGCAGTGGTCTGTCTCTTTCATCTTAGAGGTGGACCAGAGCCCAGTCTTGGTTGTTGGAAGGATGTGCATGGTATCAGATTGTTAGGGGTGAGATGTTTGAATAAAGTAGGTATTAGTAGTTTGTAGGGAACAAGTAATGTACGGAACAAGCAGCACAAAATGGCTCTCAGATCCACTTTGTAATTCATGGCATGAAAATACAAGAAGTAGCTGAGACAAATTCACTTGAGTAAGAAGAAAAACTAGTTGTTAGAGCTTTTTATTTTAATTAATTGTGCTTGTTGGGTGCTTAAGAATCAGTTGTTTTCTAGATGCAAAAGGAAATGTTTCTCTTAACATTTTGCACCCTTTAAATCCTGGTATCCAGGGGAAAATCCCCAGTTATTTCCCTCCACCAACCCCATGTCATACTCTAGTTATAGTTCTAATTTTGAGATCTACAAGGAGCTATATAATGATAACACTAACTCCTATTTATAATATCATTGGCAACACCATAATTATCAATAATGCACTCATCTTCTATATGAAGTAAGATCAGAAGTGGGTAGTATTAATAAACCAGTCTTCTCTGTAAGCTCTTTGAGATCAGGGTAAATGCTTTATCTGTTTAGATACCTCCAGTTCCCCAATGCCTTGTATTGTTTAATAAGTGTTTATAGAACAGAATTAAATAAACAATCTGAGAAGGAGGAGGGGGCAGGTTTCCAGGCAATGTAATTGAACCAGAATGATGATTTCCTTTGTTTCTTTGGTAGCTTCTTTCTGAATGGAATTTGGCCCTTGGTTGCTAACCCTTAACTAAAATTGGGTTCGGAGTATGAGCCCTCTGACCATGAGGAGAAATTAGGGAAATGGCCCATAGTAGCTGACTTATAACTAAAATAGCTCTGCCCTAGGTGGCAGAAAGTGACTTTGGGTAACTATATAATGCATTTGTGTGACATTTGACATCCAGAGCATTATGCAGGATGAATTGTGTTAATTGTAAAAGAAAGGGAGGGGGTGCTATAATATTAAAAAAATTTATATTGGATAGCAGCTAGATGGTACAGTTAATTGACCCCTGGGCATTGAGTCAGGAAGACCAGTTCAAACCCAGCTTCAGATATGTAGCTCTGTGACCCTGGGCAAGTCACTTAACCTTTGTTTGCCTCAGTTTCCTCATCTGTAAAATGAAGATAATAATAGTACCTACCTCCCAGAGTGGTTGTGAGATTCAATGAGACAGTAATTGTAAAGTGCTTAGCACAATGCCTGGCACAAAGTAAACAGTATATAAATGCTAGCTATTATTATCATATTATTGTTATTACGAATAACTCCATCTGAGAATATCTTCATTTACGTTTTGCCTTCTTTTACTCCAGTTCTTGTTCAAAGACAATCGGACTCCGGCAGACCAGTCACAGATTAAGAGATTAGAAAATCTCTATTCCCTCCCATAAAAGACATCAGACTTGCCCCACCCCCAGAACACAGATACAGGTTCCAGTAGTACTTTGTGCTTTCTGTTTGCTCTAAGTACTGGTAGGAAATGGCACACATTTGCAGTAGCTCCCTTACCCCACAGAGACACCCTTCTCCATGTGCCAGCTGATGTTTCTCCCAGCCTTATCTTGTAACAATGTATAAAATGAAGCCTTGTGCTGAGTTCTGTTTTAGATTGTAAACAATGAGTTTTCCTTCTGCAATATTTCCAGTTGGCCAGCTAAGCAGATTGAATCTCCAGGCTCTCTTTTCTTCCTTTCTTGCTGTGGGACTGGTGAGCCCAAACGTGACATCATTCTTCTGTGTATCTGTGTAAATGTTTGTGTGCATCTTTAGCATTAATGTGAAGGGGTTGAGCTACCATTTATAGATGTTATTTGGAATAGAACTTGCCTATTTATGTAATATAATTTCCTTTGAAACAATCCATGTACAATTTATTCCTACATTATTATTATTATTATTTATAAATAGCCTATGTCTCTAAAAGAAATTCACATGAAAGTTTTATTTGATTTTTCAGTCTTACTCATAGTATCATTTTGGCTCAGTACCAAAAATTCTAGGGAATTATCCCCAATTATTGGGAATTAACTGAAAAGAGGGACTTAGGAGAATGTTCTGATACTGCAAATCAGTTCTGGCAACATTAATGATAGAGAGGTTTCACTTCTGGGGCTTGACTTGATGACCTAGGATATCAGAAATGCTGATTGGGCTGAAGCTACGAGCAGATAATAGAGTAGACTACGTTTACAATTATAGTATAGCATACAATGTTAAATTACAATAAGAGTGATACAAGCATAGTGTTGTAAAAGTTTTGAGGAGGAAGAGAGAGAACTTCTGTCAATGAGAATCACTAAAGTCTTGTGCAGAAAGTGATATTAAGCTATTCCATGATTATTGGGCAGTAATTTATAGAGTTAAAAAAAACACAAATTTTTTTCATATTGGGATATTGCCAGGAAAACACAGCTCATCTATTTTAAACTTTGTTTATTTTGTAAAGATAAGAACACTGAAGGTCCCTTTTCATTTTAAAATGCCATGCAACCTCAACAGAACACCATAGACTGCCACTATCTTCATTCTTTTCCCACTCTTCTCTCCTATTAAAACTTTCCTTCAGAGTGAATAAAACAATTCTTTCAATGATTCAAATGACTGATCAAGGTTAAGATGTTACCTCCAGAAATTTCAGTGTTGGTCTAAGGCAGTGGTGGGGGAACCTGTGCCCTCGAGGTCACTCTGAGTCCTCAAGGGCAGCCCTTTTGGATTCAGTCAAAGGGCCGCCATTGAGGACCCAGAAGGCCACATGTGGCCTCAAGGCCTCAGACTCCCCACCCCTGGTCTAAGGTATTACTTACCTGGTAGCAAAACTAAGTGCAGCTTCATTTCCTAACAGACTGAAATCAGAATACTGCTCAGTGCCCGGCATCTTTAGTCTGCCATGAAACACTTGAAGTCACTCTTAAAGAGAATTCAATGGCAATACTATACGGTCAGCTGGGCTAAAAGGTGAACAACTGCTTAGAAAAGGTCACTCCTTGCTTCTTACCCCTTCTTCTTGGGTCCATCTGGTGTGGGCTTCTGCCCTGAGCAAGCTGAAGCATCCGGTTTCTGAGAATCCTGGAGGGCTTGCTCTTGGTTGTGTCGTCCTTCAGCTTTCCATTTATTTTGAGGCAAAAATAGAAAACAGAGGATGGTAAAGAATGAGGGTGGAAACCTAGTCTACTCATAGGTCAGTTTATGCTAAAGAAGTACATTTTAATTGCTACTGGTTTTTCACCTTCTGGGAGATTCTCTGGTTTTTTTTTTTTTTAATTTTCGTTTCAAGCAGACAGTAATTACTTTTATTTATTAATATTTTTACCAATTGCATGTGAAATAACTTTTAACATCTGATTTTTTAAAATTTAGAGTACCAAATTCTCTCCCTCCCTCTCTATCCATTCCTTGAGATGGCAAGCAATTTGGCATAGATTATGTATGTGCCATCATGCAAAACATATTTCCATAGTGGTCATGTTGAGAAAGAAAACAGATTAAAAAAACCCACAACTAAGAAAGTGAAAAAAAAGTATGCTTTGATCTGCATTCAGACTGCATCAGTTCTTTCTCTGGAGGTGGATAGTACTTTCCATCATGAGTCCTTTAGAATTGTCTTGGATCATTGTATTGCTGAGAATAGCTAAGTCATTCACAACTGATTATCATACAGTATTGCTGCTAACATGTACAGTGTTCTCCTGGTTCTGCTCACTTCACTTTGCATCAGTTCATGTAACAGTGATTACTAATCACAGCAAAGAATCAGTTGGATGCTTCTCATCATACTTGACAGCTAAAATCGGGACCAGCCCATAGATGAAGGAATAGTGGGACTGCAGAGATCCAAACATGGATACTACTGCATTGGTAGAAAAACTATGTTCTTTCCATATAGACCTTAGAATAAACACAGGAGATCTGGGGTGCAAATTGATCCTATCTACCTGGAAAATGAACTAGATAAACCATGAGAAGTGACAAAAGGGATGGTTTCAGAAAAATTTGGGAAGAAAAAATAATGCAGAATGAAGTGAGTAGATAAGGAAGAACAATTTTTTACAACAGCAACACCATTGTAAAGAAAAACAGCTTTGAAAACTAAAAAACTCTGATCAATTCAATGACCAAGCACGATTCCAGAGGACTGAATATGAGCCATGCTACCTAATATACTGAGAAAGGCAGAAAGCTAGACACATTTGGGACATGCTTAGTGTGGCATTTTGTTTTGCATGTCTATGCTTATTTGGTGCAGGAGTTTTGTTTTTCTTTCTTTTTTCAATTGTAAGTGGAGAGGGGATGAGAGAAAAAGGAAGACTAGAGATAAGACTGCCAAAAAAGAAAGAAAAGAGGGTTACTGAGGCATATTTTTAATTGCACAGAAGAGAAAAAAAGGAAGGACAAAATGAAGCTTAGAGAAGTAAGACAATTTTGAAAGTTATATACTATATTTATCATATGCTTTAAAAAAGCAAGCTATGTAATAAAAATTAACAATTTCATGGACAATCTGTTTTTTCTGTTCTACTATGTATATGTAAAAGTTGATTTTACTTAGTATTTGTTAAAGCAAACTTTTTTTTTAAAAAGAAAAGAAAATGAACTCGGAGATACACCACTTGCCACTGCTCTGTAGAGTGCTGGTCATGCTCTTGACTGTAAGTTCATTTCCATTGGGTAGGGCAGTTATTAACAGACAGAATAAGTATATCAGTTTGATCTTTTCCTGCCCTCCATCTCTCCCCAAAGTGTTCTAGGATCCCTTGGGTGCAGCTTTTGGATCCATAAACTAGCCTTTCCAAAAGTCATCCTTGGCATTTGCCTAATGGCTTGTGGGCCCACTTTGGGAAGCAGGAAAGCTTTGTTAAGAGAAGTTATAATGACTGGCTGTTGAACTTAACCTTTACCCACCTCCAGTCTTTTTTTGGCACCGTGCTAAATTCCTGCCATTTTATTAGAAGATCTACCCCAGGAAAACTCACTGGAATTTGTTCAGACCACTGAGCACATTGTCCTACAAGGATAATCAACTCTTACATGAGAAAAAGAATGAATATCATGTAGATAAATTTAAGGGATATGACCCATCTACTACTACAATTATTCTTCTTTTTATATAGGAAATATACTTTTGGGAAGAAAGCTTAAATACTATTTTTGGTGAACCAGATTACATTTTAAATATTATTTAAAAGTAAAGGAAGAATTCTCTCTAAAGAAACTTTGTGGTAAATATTTCTGTAACCAAAGAATCCTTTCCTGGTAATAATCACCAACTATTCCAGATTTTGTAAGTTTCAGGTTTTGTATTTTGACATTTCCCAAAGAGAGGAGCCCTTAAGGTCAAATATGAGAGAATATATTGAGGACAAAAAGGGTTTCAAAAATCAAACCATGAAGATGACAAATGCCCTATTTTGAAATCTTAGTGTGTCACACATTGAAACACAGCAGACTTATTATGTTGATACTTTCTTCTCTGCTATGAAATGAACATTTAAGAGGGGAAACATTTGACATACTTCATACTTTCAGGCTTTAAGATCACCTAAGTGATTAAAGAAGTTCAATTCTGTGCTCATTAATTGTAGAATAGAAAATGTAAAAAGCCAAGCCCACTAACTTTACGATTATTTTCTTGAAATTAATATTCAAAATGTTAAATTACCTGGACTCCTTCTTAGAATGGACTGTCTGACAACATCTGTTCCCAGAATGTTGGCTTGTTTGAAGCGCTTTGCCCGTTCTTCAAAAAACCATTCACCTGTTACAATCCTTAGCTGCCTATAGAAGGAGGGGGGGAAAAGAGTATGTAGGGAAACAGTAGAATGCGATGAACTCATCTGGCTAGATCTTTTTTAAAAATTATTTTTATTCATTTCATTAAATATTTCATAATTACATGTAAAAAAATTTTAACAGTCATTTATTAAAATTTTGAGTTCCAAATTCTCTCCTTTCCTTTCTTCCCCCTTCCCAATTTGAGAAGGTAAGCAATTTGATTTCAATTATACATGTCAGGTCATACAAAACATGTTTCCACATTACTAACTAGACTCTTAACTCTCAAATATGTAGCCAACTAACAAAAACCATTTAAGATGGCCAAAGCCTAATATGAGATATACATAGATGCCAAAAAATTACTCTGTGGAACCAGAATTTTAATTTTAGCAATTATCCAATAGAATATAAGCTCCTTGTGAGTAGGAATTGTTTCTTTTCTTTCTTCTTTTTCTTTTTTCTTTCTTTGTTTTGGTCTCCTCTAACTTATGGCAGATAATAAATGTTTATTGATGAATTGACATCAACCAAATATAAATAATTATTCTGAGCAAGAAGGAAAGCAAGGATTTGATTCAATCCAACAAACATATAAGATGAACTTTAAAGCTTCTGTGTTTCCATTTGTACCTAGAATACATGCTGCAAGCCTCATCTTTCTCATGAGCTCTCTTCTTGTACCACTAACTACTTGCTCTACATTATCACCTGGATGACCCATAGGCATCTCAAACTTGACATATCCAAAATGGAACTCATTATGTTTTCTCCTAAACCCACACCTCTTCCTAATTTCCCCATTTCAATCAAAGGTACCACCGTCCTTCTAGTTACCCAGATATACAACCTTGGAGGCATTCAAGATTGTTTATTTATCTTTATTTTCACTTAGTGCCCTCTCCGTCCATTACTTGCTAAGACTTTATGCCTCTATCACACCTTCCCCATCCCTCCCATTCTGTCTAGTCCCATGATCAGTGCCCTAGATCACACCCTAATCACCTCTGCCCCGGATGATCACAATAGCTTCCTAATTGATCTTCTTGCTTCCATCTTTCCCTTCTCTAATCAACTCTCTATGTAGCTGTCAAATCAATAGTCTCCAAATACTAGGCCATTTTGCTGTTCAAGAAGCTTCAGTGGCTTCCTGTTGCCCCTAAGAAAAATACAAACTCCTATGTTTAACAATAAAAGTGTTTCATTTGCTCCAGTCATGCTCCAATCTATTTTTCCATACTAATTTTATAGTATTTTCTCCTTATTCTACATCTCCCACCTCTGTGCCTTTTCAGAGATGGTCTCCCATGCCTGGAATGTTCTGTTTACTAAGCTATGCTCTTTGGAATCCCTAGATACATTCTTACCTCTCATCTACAGGAGGGCTACTCTGATCCTCCCCCCCCCCCAGTTATTTGTATTCTGCCTAAAATTATTTTGTATTTTTTTTGGTATTTTTTATATCTTTATCTGTATACACCCCACCACCCACATTATCAAGATCCTTGAAGGTAGGGACTATTTTCATTTTTGACTTAGAATTGCATAAGTGCACAATTAGAATTGCACAATGCACGACACACAGTAGGTACTTAACAAATGTTTGTTGAATAGAATGCAAAAATTGTATATTGTAAATCTAAAAAGACAAGAAAAGCTTCAATTGTTATAACTCTCTTGGTAAATAGCTTACTTAAATATATTATTTTGTAGTTTATAAAACACTTTCCTTGTTACAATCACGTGAGTTAGTACAAATGTTATTTCTTCCATTTAAAAATTATGGAAACTAAGACCTAGAGAGTTTGTGTAGCTCACATGGCTAAGTTCCAAAGTCATAGACCAATGCTGCTCTACACAAGAGGTGATGAATTTGCAAAACTCCCAGTAGTCAGAAGCAGATTAAAATGTAAATGTAATTTAACAAAATAAGTAAAAAATACAATACAACCTAGATAATATGAATTTGTGGTTTTCTAAGTTAATATGTGGCCTGTTGGGATCCATTTTTTTCTTCTTTTTAGTATTTTGTTTCTATTTTTCCCCAGTTACATGTAAAAACAACTTTTAACATTTGTTTTTAAAGCTTTAAAAACTTTGTTTTTAAAACTTCACACAAATAAAGTCAGATCTAAATAACTGGAAAGACATCAGTTGCTCATGGGTAGGCCGAGTTATTATGATAAAAATGACAATTCTACCTAAGCTAATTTATTTATTCAGTGCCATACCAATCAAACTACCAAAAATTATTGTATAGAGCTAGAAAAAAATAATAACGATTCATTTGGAATAACAAAAGGTCCAGAATATCAAGGGAACTAATGAAAAGAAATGCAGGGGAAGGTGGCCTAGTCTTACCAGATCTTAAATTCTATTATAAAGCAGCAATCATCAAAACTACTTGGTACTGGCTAAGAAATTGAGTAGTAGATCAGTGGAATAGGTTAGGTATGTAAGACACAGTAGTCAATGATTATAGTAATCTACTATTTGATAAACCCAAAGACCGCAGCTTCTGGGATAAGAACTCACTATTTCACAAAAATTGCTGACAAAACTGGAAAAGAGTATGGCAGAAACTAGGCATAGACCAAAATCTCACACCATATACCAAAATAAAGTCAAAATGGGTTCATGATTTAGATATAAAGGGTGATACTATAAGCAAACTGGGAGAACAAGAAATAGTTTACGTGTCATATTTATGGAGAATAGAAGAATTCATGACCAAACAAGAGATAGAGAACATTATGAAGTGCAAAATGGATAATTTTGATTCTATTAAATTGAAAAGTTTTTGCACAAACAAAGCCAATGCAACCAAGATTAAGAGGGAAGAAGAAAACTGGGAAAAATTTTTTTCAACCAGTGTCTCTGATAAGGGCCTCATTTCTAAAACACATACAGAATTAAGTGAAATTTATAAAACTTTTCAGCCATTCCCCAATTGATGGGTATCCCCCCTCAATTTCTAATTATTTGTCCCCAGAAATTAGCTGTTATAAATATTTTTGTACATTGGGATCCATTTTTATTTGGTTTGGTACCACATCCTATTTGGATTGGAGAGGAATCTATTCCAATACCAGAAGCATTCTCATGCAGTATGTAACTAACCACAGAATTTCTCAGATCTAAGAATTCCAGGTCTGAGCATAGTACTGTGACAAATTAACAAATACACACAAAGAGTCACATGCCAGAATATGCTGCTTCCTTCAGGGCTTCCCAATTTCCCTTGTGGATATATCGGCAAAACCCAAACAGAATTCCTGTTTGGAAGAACTAGGAGAAAGCAACGACCACTTGAGGACTTAGACTCTCACCTCTGTACCTAGGGACATGGTGTCAGCTTCTGGGGGAAGAGGGAGCAGGGGCCTATGTTCCTACCACCAAGGCTACAGGGCCAGTCAATGGAAGATAAGGAAGTTCTCCAGACGCTGCAGGACTTTCTATTTCCAAGTGCTGTCTTGGATATAAGGTCTGATACTGGTACCATCCAATTTCCTATTATCCTGCTACCTTTTTCTCAGAGACTCCATGATGCAGGCTTTAGGGAGCTGGGAGAGAGCACATGGACTTAATATATCTGTGCTCTTTACTTCTACGTCCTAAGGCTGGAGAACATAGGGAAGCTGCCCAATGAAGATCATTCCAAGGTGGGTGATAGTTAACCCCCATAGACTGCTGTCCCAGCCTAACACCAGCCAAATACATTCCACACCTTGTGCACCTGCACCACTCATATTCACCTCATGGTCTCCTAGTTCCAGTTAGCATCAAAATACCCTGCCACCTTAATGATCATTCAGGAAATCCAGCATTACATACCTCACCCAAACCCAACTGGCTCTAGGGAGTCCAAAGGAAGTAAGCACTTTGAGACTTGGCTTCTACTTAGTCAGTTATGATTCATTCTTGAACTGATGATCTCTTGAGCAAAAAATCCCATATTTGGGGGATGTTCAAGGCAACCCGGCCAGCTAAATTGGGGATTGGAGGTGTTGGTGTTGGTCAGGATTTTTTCGAGGAGACACCAAGATTGACTATATGGTCATAAGGGCTAGGATCCTCTAGGCTTACCTCTTCTGTACCAGAAGTAAAGAGGTCCTGTCCCTCCCCTACTCAACTGGGACCCTAAAATCTCACCACCATCTTTCTTTCAAAGAGGCTATTTATATTTTTAGATGATTCTTAAAATTTTATTTTCTTTTCCTCTTGCCCCACAACTCTGTGCTACGAGATGTGGTAGGATGGGCAAAATGCATTTTTTTGGAAATGTACAAAATTAGGATCTGTTCTGTGTCTTTAGTTACTAAAAAAAAAAAAAGAATAAAAACAAGCCACAAGAAACTCTAGATTATCTTGTTCAGTAGGGTATGATAAGAGAATTTCTGGCTCAACTTTCTTACTACAATTTACTTAAGATGAACAGGTCATATAACTGGCTAAAGTCTGCAAAATCAAGCTGAGATATCAACTATAGCTCTAGTGTTTACTGATTAGTTTCCTGTTTTGCCTGATACAGTTCTTCCCTGTCTGCCATCTGTTTTTGTTCTGTAAATCATTATCCCCCCCACTCATTTGCTCATTGAAATTCCATTGTACTCATTCTGCTTATGTAACTAAAACCTATGTAAGGTTGCTGAAACTGCTGTTAAGGCTCACTGTTTTTTGTTTTGTTTTGTTTTGCATACAATGAGTCAAGCTCTGAGTTTAATAAACTGTTTTTTTATCATATCTCTGTATCATTGATTGTATAATTGGCAGCAGTGTCTATCAATAGATCCTCAGATAATTTTTGTCCTATGAGCCCTAAGTTCTGCAATTATATGTTAGTTAGAAGAATGGGTTAGGGCTGAAAACAAGGTTCTCCTAGTCGAAATAAAGTGAAGATTCTTTTCTACCTCATTCCAAGCCGTTCATTTCATAAAAAGAACATAGTATGTATGCCTTTAATCCAAAGTGGTTAGGTCCTTATTGTTCTCAGAAGCACTGAG